CATACGATTTTTTCGGCTTTAGTTTCTAGTTCATCCGGAGGGAGAGAAGCGACGACCGGAAAAATATCTCCGGTTCGCAGGCTACCTAAAAGGCATTAAGCCACATTTTCATAACACTGAATCGAAAATTCACGCATGACCCAAGCCTCACGGTTGCTCCCTACAAAGAATATTTCTATGGACTAGCGCTATTGCAAATCATGTAGTCAAGAATAAATGCAAGAAAACGAAGGTTTATACATCACCTTTGCGCGGCCAGATAACCTTTCAGCCGCTTGTAAATGAGCACAATGTTGTTACAAATTGAGCAGCAGCGCAATCTGGAGAGAAGCAAATTCAATAATCCTGGAATCGAGAACCATTACTTCGTTGATTTGCCCTTCTAACTGGTCATCCTACTGCTTTGGTTAGTAAAATCGAAATAATAGATGTCCAGTTGATGTTCGGCCACCGCCGCATTTAAAAGTATCGTCTTTCGTCAGTAATTGTTGTGATATTATAATTGTTTCCTTTGTCAATCAACTTCCTGGTGTTTCGTGTTTCCAGATCCAACAAATCTAGTCCCCGGGGGTGGGAACGGGGGGGGGTACTTCCTAGTAATAGGCTAATGGGGATGTGCCGCTGGACTGGGTCTCATTTTCACGGCTGGATTGACTATAATGGGGTTGCATTTTCAAAAGAGTTACAGTAACTATAATGGGATAGCACATTTTTTGGATTTTGGTCAGAAAAATCACTTAGGTAGGGATTTAAAAATGGGAAGATTTTTACTTAATTTTTTTAAAAGTTTAACCAATGTGTCTATTCATTTCAGTTATCACAGGACTGGGATCGCGCAAATTACATTTTCCTAAAAGTGACTAAGATGGGGTCTATAGTTTGGCCGCAGAATAGACTATAATGGGGTAGGGGTTCTGAGAGGCAAGCGGCATATACCCAGTAAAAATTAACCCAAGTAACCCCCGGGATCTAGTCACAAAAGTATGCGTTTTTCTCTCGCATTTAGTATCGTGACTGAAGGCTCTATCCTCCCTGCCGGAGCTGGAATTTTATTTCAAGGACACTTTGTACAACATGGAAATAACTGCTGAAAGGACGAATAACGCGCGTGGCCATTTCTCCATCCTGATTTCAAAGGGTGGTAAAGGTTTTCTGTGACGGGTGAAGGGACCCAAATTTTCAGCGTGATGCTTGATCGGGTCAAAATTAGCCACGTGAGACGTGATTTAGCCTAGCAGCGTGATGCGGGATTTACTATTTTCACAACGCGTGACGCGTGATTTTCCTTTGAAATTTCCGTGGTGGCTAATATCATTTTAAACAAGAAGCAGAGACATTAAAAATAGATTGTTATGACACCAACTTCTTACCCTTTTTTCTCGTTTATCGACCTCTGGTTTCCTCAGATCAAATGATCATAGGATTGTTAATGTAATTAATATTTTATTTCATTTTTCCGTGATGCGTGATAGCTTTAAAAAAATCGGCGGGATGCGTGATAGGTATTCCCCCTTTGCCACCCTGATTTCATTGCTTGTTGGCTGGCCTTAGGGTGCCCGTCCGCCTCATGGGTGGGTGCAAGGTGTATGTCTGTTTGAAAGGGGGGGCTAACAGAATCTGGGGTATGGTAATTGCGGTTCTTTTGACCAACTAAAATCCAATGAGAAGAAACTATAGACTGGAACTGGAGCCTACGGTGATAGGGTCCTGACTAATCTCGTAGCCAGATCTCCCGCGGCCACTTTTCAGCGTGCAACAGAGTGAGATCTAGGTACGAGATAAGCTCCGGACTGGAACGTGTAAAACATTAGTCGAAAGTGACAAGTGCAAGGTTACAATAAACTCATAATGAATTTTATTAAGCTTGATTCTAGTTTTCATATTTATATTGTTTGGGAGGTATCCTCGACAGGGCTAACCTCTGATACTTCCTTTTAATACGGATTCATTATACTTATTGATTATAGGAATAAAATAATTATTATAGCAGTCAAGTGACAGGAGAATTGCATCATAAGTGGTTTCCAAGTTCTGGCCCTCCATCAAGGTTAAGAGAGGGGCAGCTTGTTTTGATCTCTACAGCCTCCTTGATTTTCCTTTGCAGAGTGTTTTCCGCGAGTATAAGTCGTATAACCTTCCCGTTATCAGGTGTGATGGAATGACTAGCCTGAGAAAACAGCCGACATTTGGCGACGCCACCACTGGTTTCCCCGCCAAATGACACCTGAGAAACGAGCACAGAAATTCCGTACTGATGACTTGTCTTTACCCATCCTATCTGGGTAGCGCTTCTGATTGGCTAAAAATTTTTTCTTCAACCAATGAGAAGCACTACCCAGATCTGGGTAGTAGCGCGTCATCAGTATGGAATTTCTGCACTCGCTTCTCAGACGTAATTTCGCGGGGAAAACAGTGGTGGAGTCGCGAAATGTCGGCTGTTTTCAGACAGGCTATCATAGACCTGATGTCGAGCAATTTTCATGCATTGCAGACTTTTATTATCAAAGAAATACCTTTCGGTACCCTTTAGTTACATACATGACATACATACATACTTTATTGTTTCCTCCCAGCCAGAGGGGCTTTTCAGGAACAATCATTATTTACGAGCATTACATTAATTAATTACAACACTCAACTTAGTACTAATTGCATTGCTAACTAATTACTAATTACAATACTTTTAAACTTAACTAAGAAGCTTTTACAAAATTATCTAAAAGCTGATTCCCGTGAGACGTTTGAAAATGTGAACAGATTGGCTTAATTTAAGAGAAGGCCAAGTTCTATTTTCAGTGGACCAGTACCAGAATAACTTTAAGCATAGTGAATTCTTTTTCGCATATTTCAAGGGCTATAGATGTAATTAGTAATTTGTATAATAACACCAAAGAAACTTTCTTATGGGAGCCCGAGAAAATAAATGTCAAATTTCACAAAATGACATCTTACACATGTAATGTAATTTTCAGAATATCATTTTTTTTTTTCATCTGTGTTTTCACATCTTTTGAAACATGACATTTATTTTCTCAGGCTCCCGTGAGAAATTGTCTTTGGTGTTATTACAGATAACTAATTAATTATCTATAGCTCTTGAAAAGTTTAAAAAAGAATGCGATAATGTTTAAATTTTTCTGGTACACTGAAAATTAGAACAACTCAAGTCCTGATGGATTTCGTTTTAATACTCTTGTAATAAAAAGTTCTCTGTCCTGAGGCTGTTCTGAAAAGGGGGATGTTTAGCTTCCGAGTTGTTCGTTTGCTAACTTGCTCACGGATAATAATTGGGATGTAAGATTTTCAGCAATAATTCAGATAATCTAAATTAATTAATTATAGTTGAGAATAAAAGTACAAATTTGCCTCTATGCAGGAGAATATAGTAATTAGCAAATTGTTTGTAAATATTACCTTTCCAGCCTCAATGAAAACAATGTCATTACATAATCACTGAAAATGCAGTGAAATAAAAGGCCTTTCACCACTTCACTTTCTAGAGTGTAAATCAGGGAGGGGTGGGGGGAAGAGACGAGGTCTGGGACTGAGAAACGATGTTCTCACAACTTGCAAAGCGGTCACCCAGCGTGGTGGTCAGCGGATAATTACAGTATTTTTCCCACAGTAAATATTTTAGAAGCAAGAATTGAAGAAAACCGGCAGAGGAAATCAGAAATGCTTATAAAATTGAAAAAAATTATATCATACAACTTTGTTTTTCTTGCATATCGTATTTGTCTTTTGGTACTGAAATGCGGGGGAAACTAAAACGCAACCGTGCTAGATCTTAACCAACAACAACGCGCTCGATGGATTTATTTATAGGTTACATCGTTTTTGCCGGGCAAGGATAACTTGACGCTGATAAAAATTACTAGATCAGAGAAAGTGTCAAATTTATTGGAAGCAAGTATATTCAAGAAAGCTTTATGAAATATGAGTTTACTGCTCTACATATCATAACTGAATAAAAATTAACGCTTCATAACATTTCACTTCGCTTATTTCGATCAGTCAACACCTTGAATCCAAAGTTAAAATTCAAAACGATCCTAAAACAAATCTCAGCTACTACTGAAAGCTCTGTAACTTGAAGCGACTTTAACTTTCCTAAGGTTTGCAGCAAAACACTGCTCGAAACAATGCTTCGGCGGCCTTTTCTTAGCAGCTATACGGAGCTAGCTATATGTTGCATATTCCAAACTCTGCAAAGGGAAATTGTTTAACAGAAAAAGAAAACCACACACTATGTCTGAAAAGCGACATAAAATCAATAAATTTGCGAATTACCAAAACATAATAGTGCGAAACAGTCCCGCCTTCGACTGCCATGTTTTTGTTTTTTCTCAAAACCGTTGATCTATGGTTTTTTACGCAATGCGCGTGATCAATACACAAATCCGCTGGCAAGACCCTTGCTGATCGCTTTGCAAGTTGTGAGAACATCGTTTGGATTTCATTTCAGAGAATATATGGGAAATAGCTTCCCCCCCCCGGTGTAAATACTCTAAATAAATGCAAGTCTTGCTTTCAAGTTCAATAAAAAACATATAGCAATGATTTATAGATGTAATTAACTATCTAAGATATAATCCCGGACTGAGTTACTTTTCCCCAACGCATTTTAACATGACTTCAGTCCTATCGAAAATCGACATGAAGACTACTATATGGTGTAAATATTTTCATTAAACAAGAACAACTATACTTACGTATCGTATATTTGAGCGTGCTGTTTTTGCTTTTCCTCTATTTCCTTTTTTTTCTTTTTCTTATTTTTTAAAATAATGATTTTTCACGAAAATGTGAGCTAGTGTTAAAACTAATCTAGCCAAGAGCCATTCTTGACTTGATCTTGCGCCGTGATTACGCACATTTCCTGTAAACACTGCCAGTTTCTGAACCGCGAACAACTAAACTGGAATTACTTTTACAATCGAATCCACATAAGAATACAAAGTAAAGAAAGAAAAAATTATAAACGCAATAATTTTTTTCTTCCCTTCGACGATATCTAGCGTCGGTACCGAACGTATGATTGACTTTGGTTTTTCAGGTTTGGACGATATCTCTTGTCCACTTTCTTCATCTTGACATACACGACTGGTGTCTTTTTCGAGGAGTGAATCGTCTAGCTTCACAGTAATCGACACTTCTAGAAAAAACAAAGACACTTATGATGGTACAATATATCCGGAAAAGAACAAAAGAAAAAAATGGAGCCTTTGATGACCATCTGCGTGGAACCAGCTATTTATGTTGTCAATGGGAGCTTTTTCCAGGTCTCTAGAAATATTTTTAAACTTTTGATTTATGGCAGACAGTTTTGCTTTTCTAGCTACAGAAAATCGTCCAAATGCGGGAGCAAAGTAGGCATTGTCAGTTTGCTCACCCTGGAATTAAAATGGCAAACTGTGTACTACTAGCCTGCGAAAGCAGCCGCTCCTTCTCGCAACTCGCCGCTGGGGACGTTTCGCGAGGACGAACGGAACGAAACGTCTCTAGCAGCGAGGACCATAGCTGAGCGACTGCTTTCTCAGGCTAGTGTACTACGTGCGAACGAAGAAGGCGCATGGGAAATTTGGGCGGAGAATAAAAAAAGCAAACAAACAAACTCAACTTCAAGCAAAAACAACAAAAACTACGGCACTGGCCGTGCTTGTTCTCCTGCCTCGCTTGCATTGCTTTTGCAGTCCTACCAACGCAAAGGATACCTACCGCCACAACCCGGAACCTTTACAGTATTAACTGTATTACTAATCCTAGCCTGCGTGGTAGAAGTTGCAGACACGGATCCATAAGATAAATAATGACTGATTTCCTAAATGAGCGCTGAATGCATGAAGGTGCAAGCCTCTAGGGCCGCGGGTCCTGGACATGCTCCCCCTTCCCGCGCCGGTTAGTTTTTTCGTTAAGTTTTTTTTATAGATATATATTAACAATTATTTACCGAAGTGGAGGTGGCTAGTAGTGGCTATGTACCGAGGCCGCGAAGAGGCGAGGTAAATATCCACTACTAGCCACCGACACTGAGGTGAATAATTGTTTTAGTATATACTAAAACAGTGAGATAATTGAGCACAATAATGATGATTTTTAACTCATTTACTGTTGCCAAACAACGATTACAATTTTGGCGCGCGATGACCGAACGGCCGCGGCCGTCGCTTTTTCTTAGCGACAAATAAAACTTTTGAAGGCGATTGTTTAGCTCTTGCGAGGAAGTTTCTTCAAAAGGAGTTGTAAATTGTTTTTGTATTTAAAATCATTCTGTAAAAAATATTATTAAATTTAGTTTTAAACTTATTTATGAACAAGTTAACTAAATAAAGTAACGCACGACTAAAGTTTAATTTGCATTCGTAAACAAAAAACTTTTTCACCGGTTTTATCGATAAATTCAAGTCAAAAAGACAAAGCTTTACCTGTTAAAACTTCCAAACCGAACTTCGTCACCTTCTTCATGTATTTTGGGAATATCTTGATTGAAATTTCTTAGTTTGTTACGGCAGCAAACCGGGAAGGCATTTTGCTCGCAACTTACGCGAGTTTGGAGGAACTGGAGGTGAATCAGTGAATAGTGCAGGATATCCACTGATTGAGTAGCCAATCAGAGCGCGCGAAAAACACTATCCACTGTTTTAGTATATACTAAATATAATTATATGTAGAACGTGCAAGGGTAACAACAAAAAGGGAGAGGAGGCTTTTCTCCTTTTCTCCCCTAGGCGCGCCCATTCCCGATACTTCTCCTTTCGCCCTAAAACCGGCACGCAGGCTATACTGATTGAAAATACGGTACAGATTATAAGCTCTCACACAAACCTTCCCCTCCACTCAATATCCTCAGCGGGATTACACTACGCTTTTCTCTCTCTTTCCCTCTCTAAAATGATGCCTTAATGAAAAAAGCTCTGTCTAATTTTTACAGATTGCGGCTTGTACCTGGTAACCCAGTCTGTCTCTCACTGTTACTGGTTTCCAACATCTTTTTGCCAGGCAATAAATCACTGCCTTCAACACCATTACTAACAATGGATGTCAAAGCTCTTTTCAATTCCCTCATAGGTGGCACCACCGCTCGGCGAATATCTGCAATAATCAAGTAATATTATCCTCATGCAACCACAATAAACCTTTTTAGCTTTGAATCTTTCGTTTTCCCAATGAAGTTCATGTGGCGTTCTCAAGGAAATCCGCCCTTTGTATTATCATGAATTATACGTGCATAACGCAAGTGAACAATGCGAAATTTGTAAAACAATTCTCTGACATTAGGAAAGGCTAGGGGGCTCAAACGAAGAGCACCAACACGTTAACTACCCGACGCATTGGAAAAACGAAACGTCAAGCTAAAGAGGTCTATTGTCGATCTGTTGCAAATTGGCAACATTATTCTTATATAATTGAGGATTACGACTAAAAGGGGACTTTAGTATCAGGGCGTTGACTTCCCGACGCATGGCCCTTAAAGATTGGTCTACCTAACTTCTTTTGAGGAGCAGTAGCAAAGAGAACTAGAGACAATCTTTCAGTGTTAAAAGACACTGGTGTCCTGCATGATCAGAGTTTAGTTTCGAGACAAAGCACACAAATTACCAGGGTGGATGAGTACGGATTCATCATAAATTTTATTCACATAACAATCCTTACTGTCATTCTGAAGCAAAATCGGGGAGAGATTCTGGATTGAAAGGATGCGCGGGAGATGGAATGCCAAAAATAACCATCCGGATGGAACGAAATTTAGGTCGGGATCACGGGATTGGAGANCCGCCCCCCCCCCCCTCTTTATCGGATGGTCTGGATCCGCCACGGTAGTGGGACCCTCATAAGGGAGCTTAAGCAACAGCGTTTTTGAGCGAAGGACGTCAACCGGAAGTGGACTTTTTGCAGCATTGGGCTGTGGTTTGGTTGAAACCCTTGGGTAAATCGTCTTTATAGGAGAAAAGAAACTCAGCAATACAAATTTGGTAGTGTCCAGGCATATAAAAAGGGAGAAGGCCTCACTTCCGGTTGACGTGCGTCGCTCAAAAACGTCTTTGCTTAAGCTCCCTATAAAGCTGTAGACTTACCGTTAAATACCACCACGAATTTCTTAGAACGCTCTTTTAACTTCTTTTTCAGGTCTTTTCCAAACTTTCCTTCCATAGCAGTTGGCAGGAGCCTTGTCGACTTTAAGTTATCTACCATTGTAGCCACTGAAAACGTAAAGATCCTTTCAATACCTGAAAGGCAAAGGCACATTAGAAACTGGAAAATTATTTTCCAGTTTGAACCTCTGCTAACGACTACCTCTATACAATTGCCATGAAAAAAAAAAACGTCAATGGCCATCAGAAAAAAAAAATGAAAAATAAAAATAATGAAAACAGAGAAAAAACTCAAAAGGGGACCTAGCCACCATACCCCTTGTAGGGGTAACTAACGGGGTTTGCGCTGTTCTTCAGGAGATACATCATGGTACTGTTTCTTTTAAAGGAATGTTTGCCAGATGACAATTAATTGAGATCAAATCAAGTGACATACCGGTAAATACTAAATAATTAAAGGCTTAAAAGTCTAAGACTTTAAATATCTAGTATTTATCAGTAAACCAGTTAAGCCAGACAAAACAACTTTGTTTGACTTCTCGTTTTTTGGTTGCCATAGCATCAAAGCGAAACGTACTGACATTTAAATTTAGAACGTTAAATCATCTGAAAAAAATTGCAAGACGTGCATAGTATTAAGTCACTATTTTATCCAATGACATTACCTTCATGGATTGCAGCAATTTCCTTTTCCTTTTCTTTCACTTCATTGCAAACTACGTTTCAAGACAAGAATCATAACTAAGCGTCAGTGATCCATACTGCAGTTTCCAGCTCATACGAGTAAAGAAATAAATTTCCCCCGTTGATTTTTTGCTTACCAGCTATTTATTCCGGCCCCTTTGACTGGGTTCATTCGTCTCAGTCAACGGCAACAAGCTTACATACAACCAGGTTTAAACGTAATTCAGTGGAAAAGCTGACTGAAATTCACTGAGTAGACCATGCGGACACTTAAAAAATACTTGGTACCTTTTAGTTTATCTGTCCTGTTGTTCTCATCAGTTATGAAATGTTTATACGTTTCCCCCATGCACGATTTCCTGTAAGCTAAATTAGAATTATATAGCAGCTAGATGCGCTTGGTAGTGCACAAAATGGACCCTACATGACTACTGGAACAACTCGAGATTTAATGACAGGAGACACAATATCAACAAAGGTGTAAGCAAACTATAATCCACAAATTTTCCTCACTGATTAACTCTTACTGTTAAGTTGGTTCAAGTATGTTAAATTCATTCATGTCCATCCTTGCCAAAAGACATCTCATAAGACAGACCAGGCCTAGCCTTTCTTAGAGATTTCCATTGATACACACACTTTCGCTGGATTTTATTGATGTTTACTTATACTTAGTGGCACTATCACTCTTGACTATAAGCAAAAGAAAGTAAGTCAATATCTTGACTTACCGCAACAGTGCAAACTTCCGTGAAAGTACTGAAACAACCCACTTGTCTTCTTCAGCGAATGAGTTAAATACCAGAATGCGTGTGGTTCTTTTTTGGAGATCATCGTGACGAGCTCGGTGACCATCATGTCTGATGTAGTTTCGCTGGAAATTTGCTCGCAGTCCGCCTCATCAAGTACCTCAAAACTTCGGAGGTAGTTCAGAACTTTGCCGACATTGTACTTTCGCAGGGATTTCTGGAAGTGGAGAAGGAATGAATCAGGTCCGCATGTGGTAAACTTCTTGTATCTCGATGCAGCTTGATATAACAATTGTTTTGAGGTGTTTTGAGACTCAAGATATCGAAGACACTGCTCGAAGTCAAAATGTCGGCAGCGTTCTGGTATCGAGTCAACGGATACAGCAATGTTTCTACTTGGGGATAAAGACTTCTTACTGCAAGGGAAAAAAGGAAGAAACACAAAAGCTCAGTTGGCTGAAAATAGGGCTCTCCCGGACGTTTTTAAATCTCAATTTAGCGTAATGTGTTTCACCTGTTGCAGGCCAACTCCATAGTGAACCGAATAGTGGACGCCCTTCGCGATGTCGTGCGGTCACAAATCTGTTTACTTTGTTATGTTAGGTTGCTTTTTATTACCACAAAATTAACTTTTGCTAATATTAGACATCATGCTCGATTAAGCGCATAATTTTGGGGCCAATTACTGTCAAACTGACTGATTAGTTGTTGTGTTGCAGCCTAGTCCAGTTCTGCCCTCAGCAGCTGTTATTGCGTTATTTTGGTGATCGCATCATCCACAACCTGACCAAGAAACACCGCTGTTATATCAGATTAAATCTGCCGAGCAGGGCCAGATAACATTACTTATTAAAAACTGAATCATTGGATAATGCAATTCTAGAGCTCTGATTGGCTTAGCCATCATGGTATATGAGCCATTATACCATGCTCTCCAAATGTGGTAATTGTACGCGTCTGCTCAAAATTGAAGACAAGCTGAAAATCAGTTGTTTCGGGAAGAATTCTCGATATTTTGTGGGCGTTTTTAATAAAACAATTATTCCACTCGCGCTTGTTAGATATAAGCCAATTCAGCGCTAAGTGCCTCGTTGGCCATCTACCATCTCATATCCAACGTGCAGTCGTGGAATTATTGTTAAATAGAACAATGTATTTTGAAGGACCAAATAACAGGACAATTCTTCTCGATTGCTGCCAATCTGGAGCATGATCATGCATGATATACCCATTTTGGTTACCTCAGTTTATACCTTCCTGTATCTTAAATCTTAAAGACAGTTTAACTTCAGCTCAGTATCGGTGGTATTTTCCCCAGGAAAGACGAATTCATCACGCCTTGAAAAACAATTTCACTAAGAATCGTTCGTTTGTGTGCCTTGTCATCAGTCATACCACATACATCACACCACATCGCTCTTGAGACATTTTTATTTTCCCCGCTTCAGCTGATTGGTCGATTAAGTGGGTAACCAAAATCATCGTAGAAACAACCGAGTATTTAATGGCCAAATAAAATAACAACGATACGCAGATTAGGTCATCCCAAGTAGATACAGAATGGATCAACTGTGGTAACTGTGTGGATACCCGCGACGGCACTTGTTTCGCATCAGTGGGAAGAAATGACTGACATGCTATAATCGGCCGAGTTAACATTTTATATGTAAGGACATGGTGAATGTGTTGATAAAAACAAATTGTCAAGCAAAAATGGCGGAATTGCGTCCTCCTCATCAAAAGGCCATCATCATAAGAGTGAAGAGGAAAAAATTCAATTACTAGAACGCATTTTAGATCTTAGGGTAGAGGGCCACTGCAAGGCCACTACGTTCACATTAAGACTTCTTTGTTTTGTTACAGATCACGAGCCCACCGGCATTTGCATAGATAATCTCCTTTACGAGCCTAAGGAAGATAATTAGACTACTCGATGCAGTTCAAGTGCAGGAACTTTATGTGCGACATAGAAACCTCACACAAGGTCATCAAGAAGGTGTGGTAGGGAATCACAACTGTTAATTCCTTACAAATCTTTATTCCCTTCAAATGGGAGTTTGTAAGAAACAGTCACGTTCAATGGGAAAGATTTTACTACCCCTTCCCCTACGACCTTTCTCTCATATAATTTAATCCAGACCTACAGTTGTAGCTGCTCACCCTCCGCACGTCTCATGTAGGTTTTGTCTCGTTTTACTTGGGAGCACCTACATCGGGCGCTAATTAAAAAGGACTCAGCGGAAACCGACTTGCATTGGTAGCCTGGCGTTGCATTAGTGTCACAATACCGCTTTTAGGGAATGAAGCTTCCATCCAAAAGTGCTGGACAAAACCATAACTGAAAAGTCAACGAAACTTACCTTGCAGTTACTTGTTGTTGTGCCTAATGCTCAAACGGAGTTTCAGGAAATCGATCCATTATCTGCAACCCCAAACGTCTACGGACGCTAGAGGAAATTAGGCACAAATACGCACCTTGCAAAATTAACACATATTCTACCTCTTAAAAAGCTTGGGAATGTTTTATAAGGGGCTATTTCCGCTGCACCCCTCTCCCCCAAGCAGCGTTGAGTGTATTGAATTAAAACTTGAATGCATAACATCAGCACTGCACCGAGAGGGAAAGGGGGAGGGAAGATGCCTCAATTTCACGAGCTATTGCGTTAGTGTCCCAAGAGTTTTGACCAGGGTTGTAGTCTCCTTCGCAGCCGGTTTTTGCAAC